TGTAAAGGTAAATAATATGATTATGTATTCTTTTATAGACTTGGGAAATAAGTGAAGAGCTAACTATCAAAAAGACTGGCTTTTACTGCTTCTGTTTCTTTAAGCACCTCATGAACACTCGATTTCACCTGATTGAGTCGAGTGGATAGGTCAGAGAGCAGCTGACCAAAATTCTGAGCCCTTATGTTCTGAGTAAATTGACACACTTGCTGTTGATCTTTAGCTCGATGGCACACTGATGCCTCAATATTGCTGGTTCTTGATGAAAATAAAGAGGGAGACAATGGGGTCGAAGTGAGATGTAAGTTAGCGTGGGCAGCTGGGCTATAAGATAGTGAGGGGGGTAACGGGGCTACTTGAACCGAGATAGTAGGAGATCCAGTGTAAACAGCTGTTAAACAGCGACCAATTGCAGATTGGGCGAGCTTATTAGAAGAATCTGAGATAGAGGAGCTGAGATGTTCACGTTGATAGGTTGATACGGCGGTCTCTAAGGCAGCAGTATAAGTGAGTCGAGGTTCACCTAAAAAATGAATTGTATGTTACTTTTGGCAGCCGAATAAGGGCATAAAAATATTGTATAATAAAACGAAAATAATATGGTATGGCTTTTAAGAAAGGTATATATAGAGATCTAGATAGATTATATTGAATAGTAATCTGGGCATATTATACTACGTAAAGTATTTACTTAAAATGAAAATATGTAAAACTATTGGTCTGATAATCAACACCTATCTATATCTAACTCGTCGGGTGATAAGGAGTGATAATGAAACAATGATTAATGTGAAGCATAAAGACAGAGGATGTCAAGAATAATTATAGATGGGCTTTCCATTATTAAATGAATAGTTCACAGCGTGTCAGTACCTTTCAGACTTGTCTCCAAAAAGGATGTCTCATCCAGAAGAACTACAATCTTGACATCGTCTGAGTCTCATTAAAGCCATCAAGAAGATTAGCAACCGAATCATGCTCAGTAAGCGGCAACAAATTATTGTTAGGGAGACCTTCATTTCGTATGAAAGTGCATGAAGAAGAGATTCGTCGGTCGATCTCACAAGATGAGGACGGATGAAACTCGTTGTACTGCAGCCGGTTGGATTTTATACGATATTCATGTTGGCGCAGT